CATTAAACAACTCATATTCTATTTGTACTTAGTTTGTTTTTAGTCCATTCTTTCCTGCAAAAATCCACTTTTGCTAGAGTCGCTATCTAGTGGAAATGCTTTTTAGTGCTTTCGTTTTTTTTTAATACTTGCTCATTTACGAGAAATACATTGTCAAACATGTAGACACACATACATAATACACCTACAAAATGTAGTAAATGTACACTAGTTTAGAAGCGCATATTCAAAGTCACAAGTCAAAATAATCTTCAATAGTTCAATAGTAGTAATAAAAGTCAAAAGTTAAACCTTGCAATCTATATAAACATACATACACATATCTTTAAAATTTTACACACGTGTTTAGAAGCCCATACAGACCACCATATACGCGCTAAAACAACTCGATTTTTTTCTTTTATTGAAACTCCTGCTTTTTTGATGTCGGTTAATAATAGATAGGCAACTTTAAATATACATCACATTTTGTAAATATTCTTCGAACATAATGACTTTTACTGTATACTATACTAATATTAGAACTGTATAAGTATCAAAATTTGTTAAGCGCAGTATATGGTGTGCCATATAAATGATAGTGGTGCCTTTATTATTTTCTTTACTTTTTAGCAAGCTGTACGTTATAAAGCGTCATTTGGGAGAACAGTTTGAAGTTCAGTGAAATATAATATTCTATAAAAAGCAAGAAATAGAAAATTATTATAGGTGTTCCGTGAATTTAACTCAGAACGGTGAATGAGTCAATTCTTTACTTTGTTTGACTGCTCTGCATTTTCACACTTTCCGATTTATATTACAGATCGGGCAGAATCGGATTAGTTCCTTCGCTTATCCAATATTTATACGTCAGTGTCAACGTCAAACGTATTTTTCTTTTTGGCGTATGGCGATTGGATGGAAACGCAGTCGTAAGAATCGTAACGAGAATATTTTTGTGACTGCGGTATTTCGTTTGGCTGTACCTGCCTACGTAACAGTTTTACTATGAATTTTTAAAATATGCATTTATTGGTCATTTTTCAAAGCTATAAGTTCGGAATTTTGCTGACCTAGAGAAGGTACGTGATTGTTTTATTTATCTATTAATTACTAACAATCTTTTAGGAAAGACTGCGACAATACAGTGTAAGAGTTGTGGTAAAAGGAAAAATTAGACTTCTGCTTTTGAATACTAGTATTTTTTATTTTGTTACCCATTTTCAGTTCTGTTATCAAGTGAAGTTATTCACGAAGTAAAAGAATTCATACAAAACTTATAAATATATAATAAAAGGTAGTAATTAATTTCTCAAACATGCATATAAGTAATATGTTATTATTATTATTTATTATTTTATTTTTATATTATGCCATATAAAATGAATTTGATTTGATTTGGTTTGATTAATATATCATTGTCTTAGATATAGGCATTCAATAAAATTCTGTGCTAATATAAAAACCTAAAAAAAACATTAACACACTATATATTTAATTTAAAATTTTAAGGCAAACTTCTCTAACTTTAAAAATTCAATTAAGGGAGTTGTGGTAGACCTAGCTAAATAAAATCACTCAATATTTACTACCTTCCATCCTTCAGAATGCAAATAATATTCCATTTTATGATAAAAAAAAATCTTTATACATAATTAAACATCATTGTGTAAACATTGTTAATATATTATTCTAGTACTAAACAGTTGTTACTTATTATATAAATTTTTGATATTACCTGATTTGATACCCAATTAATAAATAAATGGAAAGATTGTTTTATGCATTGGATATTGAGTTGGTTATGATTCAATTCATTGTTTAGGAAGTTACTGCAAGTTTAATACTGGCTGATGTTTTGGTGCTCCATTATTCACAATGTTAAGTTGTTCTGCTTCTATACAAAATCAAGGATTTGTACAAATATTCAATTTGAAAACCAGAGTTAAAGAAATATTCTGTAACATAGATAAAGAAATATTCCTGTATTTCTTTTTATTTGAAACATTGTATGGTATTAATTTTGTCAGGCATTTTTTTAATTCAATAGTATATATTATACATATGAGATAGTGGCATAAATCAGCAATGCATTTTTTTAAAATAAGTGATAATTCACATCACTAATTAAAAAAAAAAACATATTCATTTAATAATTATAATAGATGTTTCAATAATTTTGACATTTGGACCCTTTATAGGTTCCCTGTTCACATAAGACTAAGGTGTTGATTGCCTTTTTAATTACAAGTATAACTGCTTTCAAAAACCAATACTATTGGACACATTCACAATAACAAAACTTTCATATTTTATGGCAACATTTACATTTATTAAATTAAATTATTTTAAAAGTACATTTGATTTATTTATTTATCACTGGCTACCATCATCAGTTCTGTTATCAAGTGAAGTTCCCACATTGGGAGTCTTGTCTGAGAAGAACTGGAGAAATTAACTCCAACAAGAAAAGTGAATTGCTTGCTTTAATTTAATAATTATCAGTCAAAGAAGATTTTTAAAAGTTGTTACATTTATGGATAAGAGATAATATAAGAAATTAAGATTATAAAACATGTAATTATTTGAGTATTTCTCTATAAGATTTTGCAAAACTTTTTTCGTCTCTTATTCAAATAAGCGCAGGAGGCTTACATGTTTAAAATTTTTTTTTTTATTTCTTTTTGGTGTTAAAGACTGTTAATATGGGTTATCATATTGATGGATCAAATTATTTTTCTGGGTGATAACTATTATGTTCCAGGTCAATTGCCTTATTTATCATAGACTAGGTTTTAATTGTTAATTAACTGCTTTATTTTAGAAGCTTTCTGCCCACGTGTTCTGCATGATTTTCAACCGCCAATTAACTCATAAAAGTTCAGTTTTTTCTTACCAAGTTTCTGATCGGTTTTATGTAATATTCTGCTAATTTTTATGGAACAATCATAACATAAAAATACATAACAATTTCAATATTCTACTTGCATTTTGCCATTGTTCTATATACCTGAAATCCAATATTATTAGTGTAATGTTTTCGTCACAAATCTATTATTTTGTGATCAAGTAACAAGAACTGTGTCATAATGGATTTTAATTGAAGCGCTATTAACTTTCCATAACTTTACCAATATTAGCAAAATTACCTACTGGACGGGAGGTAACAAAAAATTCTCTTTTCCTCAGGAATCATCAAAATGTTCAAACATTTGCTATCATCCTATGCTAATCTGACCATTGTTGGTGAACAACTTTATACTTTCGAAAGTACTTACGCAAACTTTGTAGTTCAACTGAGTGAAAGTAAAGTAAAAAATTGTAACATTTTAAGGTCATTCAGATAATGCCGTAAGCAATTATTATAGGTAGCATACAGTGCGTGCGAGTTTGAAGAAGTTGTAAAACCCAAAGAAATATGTTGTTTTTTCCTGTTGCCTCCTAGTGGCTTGTAAGAAGTTCTCTTCGCGATTTTCCTTATAAATCTCTCCATAAACGTCTACTTGTTTAAAGTTTTACCAAATAAAATAAAACAAATAATCGTAATAATGGATACAAAGATTTATATTATTTAAGTATCTGCTACATTTTTTTATCCTTTTGTTGCAGTTTCATTGACCCTTCGCGAAAAAAATGTCGTAGCTGAAATGTGTAATAAGTTTTACTGTACAACGTCTAGTTATCCGTTCATTTTTTTTTCTCATTCAACGTATATACCATTTGCTGATTTATGCCACTATCTCGTATGTATAACATATACTATTGTATTGTATCCCCTTATAATAATAATGTCTTCATCAATTCTAAACAATTGATTTGTGCCGATTTTACCAACTGGGGTGCCGATTTTACCTTACTACTACCACACCGTTTACATAGCAAGATTATCGAGAAACCCACCTAGCAAGCGTTTTCATCCATCATTTGTATGAAGACTTGTCAGTGACATCGATGGAAGGACCAATATTTTCATTATTGTGACATTGACCAGTTGAAGTTAATGTTAGTAACATTGCGGGCTAAGGCTTACCGTAAATAATCCCTTTATAATTATTGTTATGCAAATATCTTTATTCCACTGAAGTAAACAGAATAATGTATACCTCTCCGCTTAGTTCATTGCAATTGCATCACGTTGAGAGAGCGCCTAAACAATTGATCCTGAACAAAGCAAGTGAATATGTTTTAAACTTCCATGGTTATTAACAAATTTCCTCTTTCGTCACCAACATTATAAATTGCTGGCGATAACAGATATTTTTAAGGGATGGTGAAAGAATCAATAAATAAATGAATGTGAATATTGGATCATAACCTAGAATCAAGCGTGATATTTGAAATATTTTGAGGCTATCATGATCTAAAAGTGTTTACATCCTCTCAAGATCTCATATCATGAGATCCTGATCGTAGTCTTATGCCGCCAGCTGTAATACATGACAATACATGTTATATGTTATGACCTATTCTCAATTTTAACTGCGACAATTAATCACGTTTGTCATAAGAACGTTAGAAATTAATGTTGCTACGTAACTCGATACGTTCACAAGCACAATTTGAAGGCTGTGCTTGTATAACAGCGGCGGTAACTTTCAGTGTTGGTTGTGTGCGTTCACAAAGCTTTTAAGCCTGGCATATTTTTTGTAAGTTTAAATCAAATTCGTATGTTAAATGAAGCTTTTCTGAATATACTTCGCCTTCTTTAATTAACAAGTGACCATAATATAGAGTCGATTTTTTAAAAATCTTTTAAATTAGTGTATGTACATGTTTTATATTGTAGTAAAGTGCATTAATCGTAGTAGTATATGACCTCGACAAAAAGACAATGTAACATAATTAGTATTGTCTTCTCAAATTTGTGATAGTTAGTGTTCGGTTAGTGAGAGAGAAATATGTTATTGGTTTAACCTACATGTTTATTAAACTTCAGTTAGTTCAACAGCTAATGAGTTTAAAAACAATCTAACTACTACATTGTTAGTAGAAAACATGCTCAATTTTGTCACAGACGTTTAGTTATGGTGTTATATTACAACTTAATTTGCAAGCAGTATCGAATTCCCTGTATGAACCTGCCGACTTTGAGATTATAACGTTTGTTACTGTAACTAGGTATCGGGTTCAGAAATAATTTGGATAAAATCGTCATGGACCATTTCAACCATGATATGGGTCACGAGGGTCACATGGAACACGATATGGACCATAATATGATGGCGCACAAAGAACATCTGCACAATAGCACGCATATAATGGATGAATCTTTAGACGTAAGTTTATAAGTACTGTTTTTAATTAATAAAATTACGCTCCAAAAAGTTTGTAACAAGAAATTTGTTTTATAGCGATAGCTGTCATTTGGTCATCGTTATTATAATATAGCTATCGCTATAAAATAATTTTTTTATTACAAACTTTTGGAGCGTGATTTAGCTGAAGGCTGGTTTTAGTTTCTAGACTTATTTTTTTATTTAATTATAATTGATTGATTTTCGGGTGTATTTAAGAAAAAGCTATCGACATATTTGAAATGTGATAATTAAGCCCTTTCATTTGATACCTACATGGAATAAATGAATAGAATATTTTTTTACTTTATGCTCTCTAGAGGACGCTCGCTGTTGCCAATTTAATGTAACGTCACATAGTCTATAGCAAGCGAACAACTAAGACGCATCTAATGATACCTCATTTGTCCAGTTAAGATGAGTAGTTTCGAAGTTATAAGGGAACAGATTAATGTTCTTACATACATACATACCGACCAAGATCATAACCCTCCTTTTCGTTTCGTCGTAGTTGGGTAAAAATAAACGACGGACTGCACTAGAGTGAATTTAGAATACTATCATATTATTCATATTTTGTAATTATCTGGCATATGTATTTCTTCAAACAGTAAACTATCTCTATATTACTAACACAATTGGACTATCGGCTTGTATCTATCTATAATATAATAAGAATTGATGGGTATGGGGATGGGTTTTAAGCAGTAATTTTTTTCGGTTATTCGTTAATTATAAGTATAATGTGAATAGAAGCTACTTTATCTAATAAAAATTAGCTTCGTGATCTACATTATTTGCAATACTAATAGGTATTAATAAATAAAAAAGTATAAAAATACTTTTGAAAAGTAGATTCGCTATTTGAAATGTAAACATATACCTACCTACCATTTTGGGTGCACATTTTTCTGGGCTCTACTTGAGATGGGTGCATTTAAAAACTTATTATTATTTGAAGAAATCTATCATTCACATTATTTTTTCATATCGCAGACCATGTTCAACGCAACCGATGACATTGCCAATATGGACTATAGATCAGATTTCAGCAGCCACGGAGATCACCATAAACATCACACAAGCGGTGGAAGTCATATGATGTCAATGACAGTAAGAAATAATTTGTTTGTTGTTTTTCAAATCAATTAGCTATCTTGAGCGCATTTATGTAAAGTGTTTGATAACGTATTGCACCGACCACAACATGGCCTTCTCGTTGTACATGATTAAAGAAATAATTCAAATTTAAAATTTCCGTTTAAATACTTAGAGACAGCAAATTCTCATACTAAAATGACAAAGGTACGTACGCAATATCCTCATCTATTTTATGTAGCAAGATTAAAAAATCCTCCCAGCAGATGTTTTTGTTGTTATTTAATTATTATCGACCAACTGACTTATCTAATCACGTTGCTTTACGAGTGCATCTTACGCATCTTATCTTTATGGCGAAGCTATCTGTAAACACATTATTCTGTAATTTTGTTTAAGTGCAATTACCAAGGTAGAGAAATCCGAAAATGAAGATTTACCTCCGAACCGTGTATTTGTTTCACTTTAAAGTAATCTATTAAATGCCATCATCATCATCATCACTAGCCTATTCGTCCCTACTGCTGGGTGTGGCCCATCATTTCCTACAAATAGAATCGAATCTTATAGGTAGAATGGCCTATGATCCACCACACGGCCCATTGCGGATTTGTGTGTGTTAACGACTGCAAATGCAGCCAGCCCCCTAATTGTCTAATTTTAAATTTATTGCAATCGCTTTCAGTTTGAAAGGTGTTGCACAACCATTGCTGCATAATACAAATACTTTTTTTTCAACTGTCTTCAGAAACAAGCAATGGTTGTGCGACACCTTTCAAACTGAAAGCGATTGCAATAGATTTAAAATTAGACAATTAGGGGGCCGGTTCAACATGCCTTACGATGCACGGAAGAGGTAGAGATAATAATTTTTTCGTCACCAATACTATTTCAGCCACTAACTAATGTTGCTTAACTATTACATCACGCGCTAACAGTAAGTTATTAGATACGTTAGTAGAGCAAATGAATAGTCTCTTTCAGTGGTAAGGAACTTACGCACTCTCGTTATTACCCAAATGTATATCTGTAAAAAGTTTACACAATAATAAAACTTGGGTCTGATTGTTCATTTACAAACAATCAATCAGCGTGGTGAATATTCTGAGTAAGTAATTTAAGATCGTTCTTGTTTTTAGTTTCATGGAGGCTGTGTAGAAACAATTTTGTTTTCATGGTGGAATGTAACAGAACTTGGAGAATTTATCGGTTCATTTTTCGCAATCTTCCTAATGGCTTTACTCTATGAAGGGCAAGTATTGTTTTTTTACGCATAGGTTTTGGTATATATGTTATCTAAAACCACTTCCCGCGTGAAAACCACTTAACTTTGATAAATATATAGATACTGTGTGAATATAGTGAAAAAGTTACACCAACGCCAGTTATCAGTATAATAGAAATTTTGCAGAGAACGATGCGCTTTATGGTTATGATTTAAGGGCGATTCTTGCCCGGGTGCCAGTGTCAAAGGAGCACCAAAATATGATGAGAAAAAGAAAGAGCTTCACAAAAATGTCTTTCAAAATTTATATATGAAATAAAAGAAAAAAGTAATCGCAAAAGTTACTAATAAAAAATCCGGTTACGCGGAGGGGGAGGGGACTTTCTGTACCGAACCTGTGTGGGTGTCCACATTCACCCAAGGCCGCAATTCTACTTACGTTAACGTAATTATGATATGTCAATGGCATTCCATTCCAATAAGACAAAGTTGAACTAACGGAATCGGGGCCCTTACTACGCAATCTCAAGGTAATCGTGAGGTAGCTAACGCGAATGGGACCCGATTGCTAATGAGGTCAACGTTATATTTTACGGATATTACATTCAAATTTCCCCTATAGTTTATATTCGTGTACACACACATATATCATACACATTGTCTTTCTTATGTCACCATTCTCAATAACTAAAGAAAACAGTCTCAATAGTTAAAGAAAAAAAACGGTATGCAGCGCACGTTTAATTTTATAAATATTTTTGTACATAATACACAAGTTTTCTTTGCATGTATGGCTCCTTTCCTTTTTGGTTTTCCTATGCATATTCTTCATTATTAATAAACAGCGCACAAAAACTAGTATTGTTTTATTTTAGAGTTCCGTTTTAATGTTTGGTTTAGAAAAGAGTTCCATCGCGAAAAAGTTTGAGAACCGCTTAAGTTGCGATCAGATCCACCCGAATCGGAGTATAGACTCATGGTTGAAAGAGTGTATTTCGATATATTATATCGCTATGTTCATACAAAATTTATAATATACGACGCCCTGACCAACATTCCGTAGTGTATCTTGCCAATCTGGCAATCGATTTCAATAGACCGTGAAAATTTTACGTTATAGTGCTAATTAGGGTTGTAAATCCATAAAAGTAATTCCGAGTTGTGTAATACATGTATAAAGACATATTTTATTAAAACTATCTTACTTATTGTGAATTGAATTGAATAAAAGTCGAAATAACAATAATATTTACACTAGGTCAGTAACGACTTATTATGTGACGAACATAAATCAATGTTTACAAGCTAAGCTTATTCAATTGGTATTTAATAAGTGCTTATTTTTACATTTCAGGCTCAAATACTATAGAAAGCATTTGTTATGGAAAACGTACACTGGACTTCAGTATTGTGCTGTGTCTGCACCCGACAAAGGTGTCTCAAATATATGTGCACCAGATGAACCTCAAGTGATACAGTTGAGTACCGAACCATTTTCTTTATGTTGTTTTTTTAATTCCAATATTATTAAGTAACCGTTTATGACGCCGTTCTAGTCTTCTAATCACTCAATTGTATCGTATATTATATATTTTTCTATCATTCGATTTTAGTATTTATATTCTGCATAACGTGCACTTATATTTTATGTACCAAAGACGATAGAGAAGTTGATTATACTCGTGCCTCGTCCTCGAGATTAGTATTTTTTTAATTATATTACAATGTAGTAACGCTTAGTGATACCACTTCCTGCACTATATTTAAAAAAAAAAAAAAAAAAAAAAAAAAAAAAAAAAAAAAAAACAAATCATATGAGGGTAGTCGAGCCTACTACTGTGCCAGCCCGGTTTCTCTTCCTCATTCGCAATTTAGTGCTCGACCACTTCGCACTTTCAAAATGTCTAAAAGACATAGCTATAATATATTGAACGTTTTGTCAAAAAAGTTAAAGAAATTAGAAAAAGAAATTAAGTATATCAGACGCGCGCCACGGCGACGCGTTCCGTTAAGTGAAACATCATCATCGAGTTCATCGCGGAGCTCTAGTGTATCGAATGCATCGGCAAGGGACTCCACGCCGACTCCGGATAAACTACAAGGTTAGTAAGTGATCAATATCAGTGTCGTACGTAATACATTTTTGAAAAATCAATATTACATTATTATGGGTACCTACAAGTTACGCAATCAGAATAGTCTGCGGGACTACTTCGCTGCGTTTAACTTGAGGATCTGTCTGCGCCTTAGGCTCCTTAGATTCATAACACATATTATGCAAGCAGAGCAATCTGAGGGATTGTCTCATCGCATAAAAATTCGTTAATACTCAGAATAGTCTGTGGGGCTATATCGTCATTAACGAATCGGTATGTTGTCGCTTACAGACCGAGATGCTTTGGAGCCCACGTCGAATACGACACCAACACAAGATACCTACGACGTAACCGCCGCCCAGACGGCGCCTGCGTTCGCGTCCGCTACCGTCGACGCAGCCACAGAGTCACCGCACGCGCAGTCAACGACGCAGGCTACGGAACGCGGGGACGAAGAGCTGGATCCCGATATTTTAGATATTCTCGGAACAGATCCGGCCGCTATACAAAAATACGGACCCGATATTAATAAAGATCTAGCTCATCGTCTATGTCATATAGCGACCACCGGTTTAGATAAGGAGACCAGAAAGACTCTTATAGAAAAATATCTCGTTCCGGCAAACTGCTCACAAGTAGGCGCTCCTCAACTCAACGCGGAGATTAAAGCCGCGGTTCCCGATACCGTCCTAAAGAGAGACAAAGCCATGGAGGTTCGGCAGAACGAAATAGCCACCGCTATTTCATGCCTGAGTCAAACTATATCGACTCTTCTTAAGGACAAAGAAAAATATCACGAGTTATTAAAACAGCTCATGGATACAGCTCGTATTTTGTGCGACATACAATACAGTGAATCCGTATCGAGAAAAAATTTCGCGCTTTATTCATTAAAAAAAGACATGAAAGAACAGTTGTCTAGCGCCAAGATAGACAACTTTCTATTCGGTGAAGACCTAGCTGGGACTCTTCGAACCGCGAAAGCAGTTACAAAATCCAGCTGCGACCTAAAGATTGATGCACCCAAGAAGAAACCTGTCAATACAAACATGTCTAGAAATTTAAACTGGAAGTCGGGACCCGGGAACCGCAGGGCGGCGCCGGGCCCCTCTCGCCGCCCCCTGCCGCCGCCGCCGCCGCCGACGGCCGACAGCAGCAGACAGCGGCCTGTCAGCTCGTCGCGCACCTCATCGCATCGAAACAAGCAGACACGCAGACGCTGACTACGCCAGCGGGACCCGCGTCCTCCGCTGAATCACCAACGGTACGATATGCTGGTAGACTTAGCATTTATTTTGATAAATGGTCGCTAATTACTCGTGATCGATCCTTGTTATCGTGGATAAAAGGCTACAACATATGTTTTACAAACCCGGTTCATCAGTTAGACACACCTATCACGAAGATCCGTACTGACTCCGAAAGAAGAGATTATAGCAATGCTATTAATAAATTGCTATTGATAGGTGCCATTTCTAAGTGTAATCCTACTGCTGGACAATTTTTGTCGCGAGTTTTTTTGATACCAAAGTCGAATGGTGAAACGAGATTCATTTTAAATTTAAAAACTCTTAATGAATTCATAGACACTCAACATTTCAAGTTAGAAGACATACGTACAGTTCTTAAGCTCATCAGTAAAGACTGTTTTTCGGCTACCTTAGACTTGAAAGATGCATACTTTTTGATAAAGATACATCCTGATTCTCGTAAATACCTTAGATTTATATTAAAAGACGACAATAATACACAGATGTATCAGTTTAACGTCTTGCCATTCGGACTTTGTACAGCACCCTTTATATTCACAAAGTTAATGAAACCTGTCATGAAATTACTAAGATCATGTGGTTTTATATCTTCTATTTACTTAGACGACTTATATTTAGTTGGTAACTCTTATTCTGAATGCCGGGATAATGTTGATGTCACCTGTAAAGTTTTAAAATCTCTCGGATTTATTATTAACGATAGAAAAAGTAATTTCATCCCTTCTAAATGCTGTCAGTACCTAGGCCTTATAATAGACACACAAACATGGCAAGTAAGATTGCCTGCTGAAAAAAGGAATCGCATTAAGAAAGAAATTCAAATATTCTTACACATCAAACGGTGTACTATCAGGAGATTTTCTCAATTAGTAGGACTCTTAGTATCAGCGTGTCCGGCAATCGAGTATGGATGGCTCTATGTAAAAGAATTGGAACGGTGTAAATACCTTAACTTACAAGGTCACGATGACTACGACAGATTCATGACTATTCCCGATTCCCTATTTCCGGACTTAAATTGGTGGATAAATGCCATTAATACTTCTGGTCACAGAATAAGAAGTGACGTTTACTCCCTTGAAATATATTCTGACGCCTCAACAACGGGGTGGGGGGCTGTGTGTAACGGAAAAACGGCCTCCGGGCAATGGTCCGATAGGGAAAAAGATTTTCATATAAATTATCTTGAACTTTTAGCTGCTTATTTTGCCATTAAGATATTTTCAAGAGGGTACAGGGATTGTTTAATATTGTTAAGGGTTGACAATACCACTGCAATGAGTTATATAAACCGCATGGGTGGAGTTCAATTCCCGCATCTGAATAAAATTACTAAAGATATTTGGCAATGGTGTGAGGCTCGTAGAATACTTATTACAGCCTCATATATAAAGTCATCTGATAATTGCATTGCAGACTATGAATCTAGACGGTCACATCCGGATGTGGAATGGGAATTGTCTGAGGAAGGTTTTCAGCTCTTAAAAAATAGATTTGGGAACCCTCAGATTGATCTTTTTGCAAGCCGTCTTAATAATAAATGCGATAAGTATGTATCTTGGCATCGGGACCCCGAGGCATATGTTGTAGACGCGTTTACAATGAGTTGGGCAAATATTTATTTCTATGCATTCCCACCTGTAGCAGTCATAATTAAAACTCTCAGAAAAATAATATCTGAGAAAGCTGAAGGCATCGTAATCGTACCGGCGTGGCCGACACAGCCATGGTACCCCTTATTTACTAGACTAGCTATATCTAATGTTATCACATTAAAATCAAGCCACTTAATTTTTCCACATTACAGCAGCAGGAATATACACGCCAACATTACCCTGGTGGGAGCAGTATTGTCCGGACGGCATTACTCCGAAGGGACACACCTGCATCTGCCATAGACATCATGCTAGCATCCTTATCGAGGAACACTATGAAACAATACAACGTTTGTTTCAAAAAATGGTTTATGTACTGTACTGTAAATAATATAGACATATTTCAACCATCTATTCCAGTAATAATAGAATTTCTCACCCAAGTCTTTAACAGTGGCAGTCAATTTGGCACGGTAAACTGCTATAGAGCCGCGATCGCTCTACTTGTGGGTCCTCTGGCTCAAGATGATCGACTCACTCGTTTTTTTAAGGGAGTGTATAGACTTAGACCTCCTCTTCCACGTTATGATGAGATATGGGATACAAATAAATTATTAGAATATCTAGCCTCATTATATCCTCACGATACATTGTCGTTTGAACAACTGACAAAAAAATGTGCTACTTTACTTGCCATCGTTACAGCACATAGGGTGCAGACTCTCACTAAAATTAATGTACTTAATATAAATATTTCCACTGAACAAATTGTTATTAAAATTCCAGAATTAATAAAAACATCTAAAATGGGTAAAAATCAACCTACTTTATACTTACCATATTTTAAAGATCGAATAGAAGTATGTCCCGCGAGTACTTTAATTTCATATATAGATAGATCTAAAGAAATTAGAAAGAGTGAACAATTATTTATTGGCTTAAGAAAACCTTATAACCGCGTTACTTCGCAGACTATTAGCAGGTGGATCAAAACCACTCTCAAAGATAGTGGAATTGATAGTTCAATCTTTACTGCTCATAGCACACGGCACGCTGCCACATCAAAGGCATTTAAACAAGGTGTGAATTTGGATTTGATTTTTAAAACCGCGGGTTGGACAGGTAATTCCACGACCTTTGCACGTTTTTATAATAGACCAATTATCCATAACAATGATGATCATACAGCTTTAGCTAGAACAATAATTGATTCCTGATTGTTTTCTATTGTAAGGTTGATTTGGCTAGTTTAATTAAAAATAAATGGAAAATATTATTGTTTCATAAACTATGTTGTGCCTAATTCTGTTATAAACATTATACTGAAAAGAAATATATGACTTCTTTAATTTCAACAAAACGTTGTGATATTTTTGTTCTCTCAACATCTACATTGTAATATAATTAAAAAAATACTAATCTCGAGGACGAGGCACGAGTATAATTAATGATTAAATGAACTTACCTGTACGTGAAGTTCAATCATAATTATACGAAGTGCCTCGTCCGAAGAGATTAGTATCTAAAACCCTCCCTCCCTACAGCTTTTTCCCTTTCTGGAAATAAGCCCATCTTCAAAAATATCTTTATCTGGTGATGGTCTCTAAACTAAATGAGGAAGAGAAACCGGGCTGGCACAGTAGTAGGCTCGACTACCCTCATATGATTTGTTTTTGTTTTTTTTTTTTTTTTTTTTTTTTTTTTTTTTTTTTTTTTTTTTTTTTAAATATAGTGCAGGAAGTGGTATCACTAAGCGTTACTACATTGTAATATAATTAAAAAAATACTAATCTCTTCGGACGAGGCACTTCGTATAATTATGATTGAACTTCACGTACAGGTAAGTTCATTTAATCATTAATTAATTTGACTATTTTTCCGTCAGCGACTTTGCCCGCGTGAGTCTGTATTATACATAATTATAAATATTCCTCTTAAAGTCCGTTGGATAGTTTAAAAGATTTAAGCTATATGTTTAAACATCGGGAAGAGACTGTTTTATACTATGTATAGGTGACATTAGGGCAAGGGTAACCTGGATAGTAGTTAAATCAGTCAGTTTGTATTGTAATCTATATTAATCTAACTATGCTGGAAAGGCATTGATCTGCTGAACATAAATGGAATAATTTTATTAAGTTCATGCTGAAGTTTCATAGAGAAAGCATCTCGCTAGTAATAGACACAAAATTTTTTTCAAAATCAAAATTAGCTTTGAAAGAATGGCCTCAAAAAATGTTACATATAATTTAATAAACGTGCTCCCTGTGAAAACCTTAATATATTATGATTATTCATGCGTGATGTCGGTAATGCCAAAAGTATTGATCGACAAGTTATTGCATACGATGCATATTCTTTTTATATGAAACTATTACAATAGCTTCTTAAAAGTTCATATTCATGCCGCACGCGATGTAATTTTCCGTTTACAACATTCTCATAACGCATCTAAAATACTTATATGTATGTACATATGGCAATTAATCGTTTGATATAGATATCTTAACTTTTTAAATCTATTCTATAAGTTTATTATCTAGAAACTTGAATGACTTTTCTGAAAGTAGGTATACGGTATTATAAAGCAACGGTATCAGATCAGCCAACGATATTATCATGGATCGATTTAAAAACTTAACCGACTACAACAGTACGTTTTGTAGAGAAAGTGGAGTGTATTTGGAATACTGGTTTCTTTTTTGAAAATAATGTGAGAAAATAGAAACGGGAAAGCACAATATAAATGCATCGAATTATAAAAAAAAATATTAAAATTTAATAATACTAAGTATCAATTAAAACAAAAGACAAAAAATTTAACAAAATTACAATATCAAAACAAAAATTCCAAAAACTTGATTTCACTTAGGGTGCAGGTTATTTGGATTGTAGTACATCCTAACCTAAATATCCGTGTTACATTTTAAATTCTATAAATATTAAATACTCGACTTAACACCATCACTCAATAGAAATAAAGATGTTACTTGTCCCAGTAAATGATTACTATTGATTTACCACAAAAGTTTAAAAAACACGCCTTTTGTTAAGATGTACGAAGATGTAAGATGTAAGACGAAATGTTAAGATGACCTCTTGATTTTACATCTTTCTTGCTCCATCTGTCATGTGACGTTATGTTTATATTTATATTTATTTGACTAAATTACCGGCAGTGCTGCAAATATGCTGTCCTTCCTCTATTATTGTATAAAGATAGATAGAAATTTTACCAAATAACTAGATTTGTTGAGGGAAAAGTAAGAAATCGTGTTTTTGTTAAGGGTAGGTATGTATTTTATGTCTTAGAAATTTGATCGAATCCCTTATTTTATAATGTACCTGCGACATAACCCAATGTCGAATAAAATTGGTTTGTATCAATGAGCTTTTAACAGTCGATATAAATTCATAGCTCGTAATGAAATTGTTATTTGCCCGAATTTTTATCTAACAAAACAACATTTACAGCTACGGCTTTGTCGCCTAACTGAGGCCGTGGATCATATATCTAACATAACCTCGGACACCTGAGTGAATTCATATTCGGGTCTGGATTTTTACAGAATCGCAGGGCTGATCTTCATTTCAGAGGGGTAACTACTCAGTTACGCGGTTTAGCTACTGTTTTAAACGCGTGTAATTACGTATGAGCAGACGTTCTATGTATATAAATAGACTAGCTGTTCGGTACTGGAAAATTACTCAATATAGTGTTGTATCAATATCGCACCCAAGTGGTATAATCAGTCGACTATTTGGGCAGCTAGCCCCTTGATTGGATGGCGCCATTAACGCGCTTTCTTTCAATCAGCAGAGCAGCTGAACGCAACGTTCTACAATACGGCTGAACAAAGGTCAGCTAACTAATTGACTGTCAAATAATCTGATATATCGAAATAAATTGGCAGGATTAGAAGTAAAAACAAATTAAATATTGTAGTGGGTGATTTTAAAGAAAACTCAAAAGCTCCTTGTTAATATCTGTAATCAATACGGATACAGGACTGATCAAAAAGATAACATCAAACTGCTTATTCGCGACAGGGTGTTAATGGTCCGTCCGTATGATCTAATACAGGAAGCTAACGTACACATTAATAACGCAAGTGTGAGTTAAGCTTAAGCTTTCATAAGTAATAATACCTTTCAGACGCGATTCAGACGGCCACAATGCCATCTATCGAAAATGAGAGTATGCAATGTATTTGATTGCGATTGTTTTAGTACGTTTATTACGATTTCGGACCTTTGTATATTCAACTAGAAGACTAGGTGTGCAATTGAATGGCGCCATTTAATTGAACGGCTGTTTTAACCAGTTGGCTGCGACATCAACACAACATCGTTTTTAATCGGATTGTATTGCCATCTCGCTTACTTCTTCTTACTAAGCGAGACAGCAACTCGTTTGTACTATGTCACATATTCACAATTTAAATTTAGAACAGTTTGTCTAGTAATATACAATAGAAGGCTTTGCGTATGAGTGTGACTGCGAAAGATACGACAATCGAAAAAATGTAATAAAATCTACAAATTACACGCGTTCCGTTCATAAATATTATTCATATATTAAGAGTTAAGCGAGCGGAGTACGCAAAATTATAATTGACCGTATTATATTGAAAGCTTTTATTTTTTTTGCAGACCTATGCCCCATGTACTTGAAAGAAATGTGTAAGTAAACAATCTTATTTAATTTTAATCACTTTTTGTCAAATGAGAGAAAATTTATTTGTATTTTGAAAGAATAAATTATCTCCCATTTGACAATAAGCTTGATTCTAATTTAATGCCACACAATGGCGTTTACTGTGTGCTATATTCCAGTAACAGTCTCCTCTTTATAGGGTTACACACAACACAGAAAGACGGTGTTCTGTGGGGTTACAAACGCATGTCGCGCGCAGTCCGCACATAAAATTATTGACGTCGTAACAAAAACATTATTCATAGATAATCAAGCAAATATTTGGTAGCCTGAGGTGCATCCGTGTGCACCTCAGGCTACCAAATATGTCAAATTTTCTCAATTAATTTTTAACTCGTAACCATAACTCATGGTTTAAAACTAAGTGAACAAACTTGACTTTTTTTGATGCGGATCTGGTGCAGCTGTTGTACAGACAGCAGAACGTCAAAACTATCAAATTCCTCCTTGTTTTTGCAGACCTACTATGTTAAGTTCAGCACACACGTGGCAAACGGTACTGCACGGGGTGCAAGTGCTTGTGAGTTATATGCTGATGCTGGTGTTTATGACGTACAATACATGGTTGTGTGCGGCCGTCGTGCTCGGCTCTGCGACAGGATACTTCCTCTTTGGTTGGCGGGAATCAGTTGTCGTAGATTTCACTGAACATTGCCACTGATGAATATGAAACATTTTATTTATTGACATTGTTTTATAGGTAAATTAAGTTTTGCGTTCCTCCAATATAGGTCCTATATGTGATATGTTACCTAAACAATTTGCATAAACTTTAAATGTTTTTAATTTGTATTCGTTTACCAACTAGCCCTATTATTAGAACTTGAAACCTGCCAGGTTTTTCTCAAAAATATAACAAATATAAGTCCCTTGTTTAATATTGTTATCATGTTATAAGACAGACTTTTGTGTAAGTCTTACTTTTTGGGCGACAATGTTTATATTAAACCAGTTATATAATTGTAATTTTTAGGCCAATTTTATATACAGACTTATATAGCTAGCGATATTAAAATAGATCTATGCTTATCATTGTTTGTTTTATTCTAGAACACCCATATATTTTATCGCATTCAATGTCTTTATAAATTATTAGTGCTGTAATCTACATAAATAGATCTGGTAGGTCTGGTTGGAAAAGACTGCTTCAAACAAGATTTGAATTTCTTTATTCTACCATGTCAGTAGATTTCCATAACCATAGAAATTGCTGCATGTAAATTGGATCAACACTGCATTTTTCCTAGTGATAATGGACACTCGAGATTCTTTAATCTTCAGAATGCAAATATTGTGTAATAGGAGTTTAAAATGGTGCTACTGATTGGAGAAAGTAACAAATGAATCACATTGTTGGAATATACATTATAAGCCTTTAGATTATTAATATTATATTTGTAACAACTAAACTTTAAGAAAATGTCAGTTATTCTTTCTTTTAAAACTACCATGAGAAATTAACAATTATTTCGGGTATATGTTTTAATTTGAATTAATGTATTTGCAATGGTTTTCCGTGGTTAGAACTGCTATTGCAAATAAGGTTTTTCTGAATTATGTATTCTCTTGTGTTTGATGAGATTTGATGATATTTTAGTAGAATAGTTGCAGTTTGAATAATAGCAATATTTTTCTTTACGATTATTATTTGATGAAGTCTCTATATTAGGTATCCTGTAAACTTACCTAATAAAGTTTATAACTTTACACTGTAAAGTAATAAACTTTATTATGTATCATTGAAGTTTTCAAAAAATATTTGACTTAAACAGGTTTTCACAAATTTACTTTGTTACTTGAGAATTATTTTCAAGTGCAATATCCTCTTTACTTGTGAATGATTGGTTTCTTGTATTTTCAAACAATTCTGCTACGTTATCTGACAATATATTATGATTTTCCACTTCGTGGTTTTTTAATAACTTTGAAATAAACGATTGCGGTTAAGAGCTACATCTAATTAATTTATCTTTGGGGGGTTGTCCACTTTCATTATGAATTGGAACCCGTCTCATAGCAGGTACAAAATTCAAGGGATTATTATCATTCACATTGAAATTAAATAATTCGCCAGCTATATAAAACACGGATCACAGACTTAGTAGGTATCAGACGACCAACTTCCTAACAAAAAATTTCTTCGTAGAACGTGATTGGGAGCCAGTGATACATGACAGCTGCATTCGTTTTAAATATATGATCTATTATCGGCAAAGGCATTTAGCTATACAGCCCTGTTTTGGGTAGGTACCTAGCCGTCTTCCTAGTTTCCAAATTATTTTTACTTTAATTTAAATTCCTTTTTTGTTTTAATACAACAATAATAATAAAGCAGACTGGTAAGTCTAGCTTATTATTATTGTTATATTAAAACAAAAAAGGAAAAATGAACACGTAAATAAAACACACATTTTTCCAATATTATTTATTGAATAATTTATTTTTTAACTTATTATATTTTTCACAGCTCTCTTCTGCATTCTCGGCAATTCCTAGCATACCTTTTTATACACATATTTAAGTTTTTCTAAATTTCAATTGCCTTTGGCCAGAAAGAATGCTGGTGTGTCTTATCTGTCACAGCTCTTTTCCTTTATGCTTTTTTGTTTATCGATGCTCCATTTACACTATCAAATAATTGGTCAAAGAATGAAACAACTTCAGCTGCATTTCTTAACGTTGTGCACATCCTCATAAGTTGCTGCAAATTAAAATATTCATATAATAATTGTATGAAACTTGATTCGAAACAATTAACTGTTAGTAAATTTCATCTAATACTCACAGAAATTTGCAGTGTAAGACAAAGCTGCAGACATATTTTTACACAATTTTTTACCTGCAAAAAGAGATATCATATTTAAAATTCTTCATTAGAGAATCATTATTGTAATTAAAGTGTAAACTATATTAATTACTTGTTACATAATTAAAAATACAGGTCATTGAATCAACACTTGCTCTGATAGAGAATATAGAAACTGAATACAAATTATTTATTTTACTTATACTAATTTAAGTTATACTAATATAATAACCAATGCATTACCTTCATCTTTTTAATTTTATCAGGTATAACTCATTGGTCATTTAATTTATGACGTAGCCCAGCTTCAGTGTGTTGACAGTCTGTCTCATAGACATATCAATAATATCATGCCATTTTGCAAGTTTACCACCAAAATTATTCCTGATACATTTTATCAAGTGTGTAGAATCATAATGTTCAAATCCACCCCACATATTTTAAGACTGCCAACTGAAACAAAAATTTAAGAACTTCTTAAAACATCGACAACAATATAAAAATAAGAACCTTCACTACTTTCATTAAATCTATTAGTTTTCTTTAATATAAATATAATTCTCTATACCAACCTGTGATTTCAATTTAAAATTTGATCACACTAAGTGTCTTCTTTTAGATTTTTGAGTGCTGATTGGAAAGCTGAGCCTTGGTCATATATTATTGCGATGGGATTAAGGTCCAATTCAACAACTTTTTCTACTACTAACTTCAAAATATTCTTGATGTACAGTAGATGTCGCTCCTTAACAGAAATAAATAAACATAAAGGCTGTTGCCACTTGTAAACAGCACCAACATAAATACAAGAGTATGATCTGCAAAATCCACTTTCTTTTCTTGGTGCTTTACAAATCCATTAATGTTATCTTTAATCTTTATTACTTTTATTATACGAAAGTGCTGTTTCTAATGACATCTCATCAAATATAATGGAGCATATTTTTTTGGAGTTTCATTTGTCCACCTGAAAAAGTAAATTCAAATAGTAGTAGAAAAAGTAAATATTATTATTTGGTAGTAATACATAAAATTATAAAAGAAGTATGAAAAAACTTATATGGAATATATTTACCTCTTTCATGAAGCCTGGTTCTATGATCAATTTTTTAATCATAGTATTCAGTGTAGTTTTGGATGATAAAATAAAAAATTTTGCTTAAAAATCAATAACACATTGGACTCTGCTTTGATATTGATAAAGTAATTATCTTTTCTTCGGTAGTGAATCATCTCTCATGTTTATTTTTAGAGCACATGCTCACATGCATTTCAAAAACATTTTTTGCAACTGTGTTCATTTTTGTCTGAACTTCCCAAATGATAACTTTTTACAAAACTTAAAGGTATTTACTTAAGTATTCTTAACTTTTTTAAGAAAGTTAAACTACGTCTTTGGCTTGTTATATTCTTTGGTATAAAGGTGACAATTGGCTTTATTTGGTAATAAGCCTTTTCCTTTTTGATTGGGTACATTTCACAGGGTCTGTAACATCAAAAGTATTCAGTGAATTTCTCTATTAGAACTACTATTTGATTGAAATAAAGATACACTAAAGAAAGAGACAGGTCTTACCAGATAGTTCAGTTTGTCATATTTTAATCTCCAGAGCAAGCAACTAATTGAGTAAACTCAGTGGCTGCAGACACAGGAGTCTCAATTTGTTCTTTTAAAATTACACCACCTATGAAATCAATATTGATTATGTGTGTAAGATTAAAAAACAGGATATAATCTTAGATGATATTAGAAATATGTTATTTATATTATCAATTTTTTCTGTGATCAAAATCACTTCTAGCGTGCCCGCTAGAGTTAAGTAACTTAATGTAATTTTTCTTTATATGTGTAAGAAAGAGAGATCTACTAGACTTTTTTAAGTAAAAATTTATATTAAAATACACCAAAACTGCAGCATGAACTTTGTTATCTAAATAAAGTAAATTAAAAACAAACCTCTGTTCAGTTCCACTTTCTAATATGTGTGGTCAACACGACTTTTTCTTGCATAGCTGTGTTCCCAAGTGAATATAATTTCTGTAATAAAAAAAAAATCTAATGAAGAATAGCTGTATTCCAAAACACAACATAAAGTGAAGATACATATCATTTTAATTACATTATCTAAAGGTAATAGCAGATTAAACCAGCCTTACCAGTATTGCTTGAAGAAGGTAGGCTGATTGAGAGCCCATCATCATTAAACAATGACGGATATGCATCACCCAAGAGTCATGATTTTGGAGTGATGAATTTTGGTACATCGTGTTTGCTACAAATGACACTTCTGCCTGGATTAAAATTTTCAGTATCACACACAGCACTAAGACATTGTAACCACTTGGAGAATCTTTTCTCGTTCACTAGAATCTTACAAAGAATAGCGTCCTGTTCGTACTTTAACAATACGTGTAACACAACCACAACACAACACACCAATTTCTTAGGCATCTTCTGCAAATAAAAATACTTCGAAAAATGGAGAGTTTATATTACAAATAAAGCGAACAGGGTAAGCACAAAAGAAACTTTACTCAATTACTTGTAATTCCCTGATATGTAGGTACATACTTTAGTCTTCTTCTTCTTTTATTAATGGCATATCTGCGCATTTCACACAATTTTGCCAATGTGAAATGAATAAATTAATTCCAACAAATAAAATTAATAAAAGATTAATTAAAACATTCTTCTTCTTCTTCTTTTCTTTAATGGCTCGTCTGCACTTTTCGTACAATTCTGCCAATTTCACGTAGGTAGCCAATACACGATAGGGATTTCCGCCCAACGAATTTTGGAAAAGGTTTTATATAAAATTAAAAGGTTATCACTTTCTATGTTGTATACCAACAAACCTGAAACAAAACACAACACATTTTATCGCATGCATAACACAACACTTGTACCCGCACCACATAACACAGACATAATATTTTAGTAGAGGTAAATTATAATTTTAATTTATTATTACGGATAAATCTAGTTAATATTTTTATAAAGGGTGTATTAACCAATTGGAGGATACTTTTAACATTTATGGGTCGAGGGATATTTTGTGGGAGAACATCGTACAGGGAATAAAGAAGTTTAGGACAGTCAAATAAAATGTGGTCCACTGATCCTTCATCCAGGCCGCACTCGCAAAGTGAATTATCTCTGACTCTAATTTTAGCTAAATGAACTGGTGTACTTGAATGCCCAAT